TTCGGCTCAGGTCATGATCCCGGAGTCCCTGGATCGAGTCCCGCATCGGGCTCCCTGCTCAGCGGGGAGCCTGCTTCTCCCTCTGACCCTCCCCCCCTCATGCTCTCTCTATCTCATTCTCTCTCTCAAATAAATAAATAAAATCTTTAAAAAAAAAAAGAAATTACGTAGGATATCCTGATAGGTCAGTTCTCATCACAATATGGAGGAAATGAGAATCCGCTCCATCCCTTCTGAGCACCCTCTCCCCTGTTTGGCCCCAGGCTTCTCGCTCAGGCTGTCCCCTCTCTGCCGAGTCCAGCCGGACCTTACTGGTGTGTGTGCTGTGGGTCCTGAAGAATGCTGAGCCAGCCCTCCTGCAGCGCTGGGCCGCTGACCTTGCCCTCCCTCAGCTGGGTCGCCTCTTGGACTTGCTATACCTTTGCTTGGCTGCCTTTGAGTACAAGGTGTGGGGATGGGGGTGGGGTGGGCCAGGGGACTGAGTGGGCGGATGAGGCAGGGGTGAACTGTCTTCACGCCCAGGTTCCTGTGGGTTTGAGGGTCAAGGGGCGGACTGTTTCTGGGCTGAGCCAAAGAGAAAAGGGAAAATCATCTTCGTGAATAGAATTTGGAAGGTGCCAAGACCTTGTAGTAAAGGGGAGAGCTGTGTCTCCAAGCACACGATCCTGGAGGTCAGAAAAGGCTGAATGAGTGTGACCAAGCAGCCCAGGTCCCACAGGAAAGGGCAGAGTCAACCCTCGACCCGTTCTCTGTCCTCACAGGGGAAAAAGGCCTTTGAGCGCATCAACAGCCTCACGTTTAAGAAGTCACTGGACATGAAGGCCCGTCTGGAGGAAGCCATCCTGGGCACCATTGGAGCACGACAGGACATGGTCCGGCGGAGTCGTGGTGAGAGGGAGATGTACCCTGTGCACGTCCCCACGGGCTGCTCCCAGCCTTTGTCTGAGGGGCCCCAAGAAGGGGGCGTCCTACCTCTGTGTCTGCCTCACCTTTCCCAGAAAGAAGTGCACACATCGTCCGTATGCACATGGGCATCTGTGTTCCCTGTCTGTTCTCATGTCGTTCGTGTTTAACTGTGTTCCCTTAGCATGTATATGTGTCACCCGGTGTCCTCACGGGCCGTCCCACATGTGTATCTTAATGCCTGAGCCCTTCTCCTCACGGTCACACGTCCTTGTGTTTTTGCACGTCTCCGGACGCTCACCTGCGCATCTCAGAGAGGAGCCCGTTTGGGAACCAGGAGAACGTCCGCTGGCGGAAGAGCATCACGCACTGGAGACAGACCTCGGACCGCGTGGACAAGTGGGTGTGGGCAGGAAGTCGTTCGCTGGGGTCAGACCAGTTTCCGGAGAATGGGTGCCCCTAGAGCAGCTAAGGGAGGGGCAGAGAGCTCAGCCCCCAGCCCCTTCCCATCCCCTCCAGGACCAAGGATGAAATGGAACATGAGGCCTTGGTGGACGGGAACCTGGCGACCGAGGCCAGCCTGGTGGTTCTGGACACACTGGAGATCATCGTGCAGGTAGGGCTTGAGCCAGCATCTCTCTGACCTCTGCCCCACTGCCATGCCTTGTGATCTCTGACTCTAGGATCCCTCTCTTTCCCTGACCCGGGAAGCAGCTCAGTCCCTAACAGCTGGATTTCTGACCCCTTTCTCCCCCACCCCCCGGCAGACAGTGATGCTGTCAGAGGCCCGGGAGAGCATCTTGGGTGCAGTGCTAAAGGTTGTGCTGTATAGTCTGGGCAGTGCCCAGAGTGCCCTCTTCCTGCAGCACGGCCTGGCCACACAGCGAGCCCTGGTGTCCAAGGTAAGCCCCGCTCGACAGGCAGGGCCCTGAGTAATCGTTGCAGCCCACTGAGCTCCTGCTGTATGCTCAGCCACTTCATGAGACAGACACTCCTGAGCCATGGTTTATAGAGGAGGGAGCTGAGGATCAGAGTGGCAGAGTCACTCCCCCAGGGTCACACAGCCAGGGCCTAACCCCGTGTCTGATCCTGAAGCCCACTGTGCTTGGCCAGAGGGGGCAGAATGCAGCTGCCCCTGCCGACATCCCCATCAGGGGCCTTCTGTGGCACCACGGGGAGGGGCTGACCAGTGTCTGTGTTGCGCTGGGGGGACAGTTCCCAGAGCTGCTGTTCGAGGAGGACACGGAGCTGTGCGCCGACCTTTGCTTGAGGCTGTTGCGACACTGTGGCAGTCGCCTCAGCACCGTCCGCACGCACGCCAGTGCCTCGCTCTACCTCCTCATGCGCCAGAATTTCGAGATTGGCAACGTAAGTGGGAGCGGCGGGCAGAGGCCATGGTCCACGGGAGGCTCGGGGGAGGGGAGGGCGGCCGGGGGGTGGGGGTGTTGGTGCAGTAAATGGAGGGCGGGAGGGGAGAGGTCGGCAGGTCGAGCGGGCCCTGGGGGTGAGGGTCCCAGGCTCACAGGTGTTCTCTTCCTTCCCGGCTCCTCGTAGAACTTTGCCCGCGTGAAGATGCAAGTGACCATGTCCCTCTCATCCCTGGTGGGGACAACGCAGAGCTTCAGCGAAGAGCACCTGAGACGGTCGCTCAAGACCATCCTCACCTATGCCGAGGAGGACGTGGGGCTGCGGGACAGCACCTTCGCCGAGCAGGTGACGCCGCCGGGCACCCCCGTCACGCCTTCCTCGGCCTGCGTCTTTGCTCTGCCTGCTTCGCCCCCACCACTAAGGCTCTCGGTCACGTCTCGATGCCCTCATTGTCCCCGGCCGCTCCCCCGCTCCAGGTCCAGGACCTGATGTTCAACCTGCACATGATCCTGACGGACACGGTGAAGATGAAGGAGCATCAGGAGGACCCGGAGATGCTCATTGATCTCATGTACAGGTGACGAGGGCCAGGTGGGCCCTTCAGCTGTTCTCACCCACAGACAGGTGGCGGTGGGGTGGGTGGGGAGAGGGACAGGTGAGCAGACAGGAGAGGGCACAAGCAAGGGGAGGGCAGGTAAATGAACGGTACAAAGGGTGCCAGATGAACATAATTGGAGGACGACAGAGGAGAATAAGGTCAAATGAGGGGGACAGGTGGGAGAGACAGGTGAGGTGCTAACCCGTGACAGGTCCGGGAACAAGTGATTTGGAGGAGAGGTGAGGGGTGTTTGGGAAGAAGTAGGGGAGTGGGAGGCGGGGGACAGGTGATGGAGCCAGGGAAGGCGCGGGGGCCTATGGGAGGTCGGGGCCTGGTGCACGGGGATGTGGGGCCAGGAGCAAGGGGAACAGGGGCGTGGCTTAACATTCCAGCTTTGGAGCCCGGCTGGTGAGCGCCACCGATGGGTGGGGTAGCAAGCAAAGGGGGTGGACCAGCGAGGGGCGGCCAGTGGGGGCTAGGCAGGTCCCCATCCTCCTCACCAGCCCCCACCCATATGCCAGGATTGCCCGCGGCTACCAGGGCTCCCCCGACCTGCGGCTGACGTGGTTGCAGAACATGGCGGGGAAGCACGCAGAGCTGGGCAACCACGCGGAGGCCGCCCAGTGTATGGTGCACGCCGCCGCTCTGGTGGCCGAGTACCTCGCCCTGCTGGAGGACAGTCGCTACCTGCCCGTGGGCTGCGTTTCCTTCCAGGTGAGCCAGTGGGGGCAGTGGCGGGCCCGATGGGGCAGGGGGTGGCACCCGTGGGCCGGGGCCAGGGCCTGATGCCACCTCCCACCCCAGAACATCTCATCCAACGTGCTGGAGGAGTCTGCCATCTCCGATGACATCCTGTCCCCCGACGAGGAGGGCTTCTGTTCCGGGAAGCACTTCACGGAGCTGGGGCTGGTGGGGCTGCTGGAGCAGGCGGCTGCCTACTTCACCATGGTGAGGCCTGCGGCTGGCCGCAGAACGTGGGGCTCGGGCCAGGGTGGCGTCCTCAGGGCCACTGACGGGCCCAGTACCTGCTCCTGGGGGCTCCCAGTGAAGCTGCTGCCCGATCCCTCCCTTTCTGAGCAGGGGATTGACTGAGGACAACAGGGTCCTTCACGAGCTCGGGTTACCTGCCTCTCTCCCTGTAAAACCCTTAACACGTGGCCTGGACGTAGCCTTCCACACACTCAGCCACTATTAAATTTTTTCTATTAGAGAAAATGTTGAGCACACATAAAAGAAAAGGTTGCACCCCCACCCCCACCCCCAGCACTCAAATCCAGCAACCACCAGTCTTTATGCTCTTGTCTCAACTCATGGCCTCTAGTTTTTTGTTTTGGTTTTTGATGGCGTTTGTTTTTTTGTTTTGGTTTTGGTTTTTTTTTTTTTGTTTTTTTATGTATACATAAAAAGATCTTAATTTTCACAATTTTTTTTGTACATAAAAAAGAGAAGATCTTAATTTTCACAGATTGATTGATGAAACCCAACATGACCGTTCAGCTGGAGTTTTTTTTCAAAGCTTGCCTACTCAGTGTGGTCTGAGGACCAGCAGCATGGGCATCACCTGGGGGCTTGTTATAAATGCAGAGTCCTGTGCCCCCAACCCTACATTTTAACAAGATCTCAGAGATTCCTGTGTGTTGGGAGTCAGAGAAGTTCCAGCTTCAAACAAACCCTACTCATCACACCATCACCTGCACAAGTACCTCCCTGTGCAGCCCCACTGGTGAAATCCTTTTATGCAACTCTTTATACCGGTCCGTGCTTAGATGTCCCTGACGATCTCGAAACAGTTTTCTTTCTGCACTTGCTTTGTTTGAATCAGGATCCATATAAGACCCACAGTGGCAATGACTGACAAGTCTCTTAAGGCTCTCTCAATCAAAGAAAGAAAACAGGAACAAAAGACAGGGCATAAGTTCCCCACTTTGTACAATAAGGGTTTTTAATGTTTTCCTTGACAGGTTGAGGCCCAGGCGATGTATTGTCCACTGTTACAGAAAGGTTTTCTCTTCCAGTTTGCTTGTTTGTGTGAAAGCAGTTGGGTTTTCCCCTGCATTTCACTTGTTGGAGCCCTGGGCTTTGTTCCAAGAGGTTTTCTGGCCCGCTTAGGGCTGGTTGCATCCCTGTGGTGTTGCTTTACCTGTTCCTCAGTCCCCTGAGCTTATGGGAACTGATGATTAGATCTGGAGCCCTGCTCAGATTCAGGGTCAGGTTTTCCAGCGAGAATTCTTTTCTGTGCTGCCAGCCCCCTAGTGGGGTTTTCATTATTGTCATTGTGTTAAAGACTCAGAAACAAAAGCCTTGGGAATAAATGGGACGGTAGACACAGACCTCTCACGGTTGGTCAGCAAACATCGCAGGCTGCCTGCTGTGCTGGCGCTAGCTGTGGGTGAGGGGCACTTAGGAGCGGCCATTACCACAAGCCAAGAGGTAGCTGGGTGTGGAAGTCTTGGGCACCAGGCCAAAAGGGCTGGCGTTCAGGTCCTGGCCCTGGGGAGCCATGTCTGAGTTTTAGTTTTCTGAGAAATGGGGAAAAAAAAAAAACCAAGAAAACCTCCTCCCACAAATGAAGGAACATGGGTAAAGTACAGATGTACACAGCACCTGGTCCACAGTAAGCACGATAGAGACCACGGAGGGGTCTGTGGGGGGTGGAAAGACTGGTGTCCTATCCGGGGCAGGGTGGTCAGGGTGGGCTTCCTGGAGGAGGTGGTGAAAGATGGAGCCCTAGGGGATGGGTGGTTGCACAGAGGGTGGGCTGTTCCAGGCAGGGGAGAAAACTGGGGGAGGGGTGCTGGGAACCCTGATGTGCCCCCACCCCCAGGGCGGGCTCTACGAGGCAGTGAACGAGGTCTACAAGACCCTCATCCCCATCCTGGAAGCCCACCGAGACTACAAGAAGCTGGCTGCCGTGCATGGCAAACTGCAGGAGGCCTTCACCAAGATTATGCACCAGGTGGGCCCAGGATGCCCTCCCAGACCCTGCCTTTGGCCCCACCTCCCACCTCACCACAGCTCAGCTGACCCTGACCCTTCTCTCCCCCACAGAGCTCTGGCTGGGAGGTGAGTCAGCCCAGTGGCCACCTGCCTCTGGGGCCCCCATGATGGCTGGTCAGCAGTGGTCAGGGACCACCAGGGGGTGCTGGAGGAACATGGCTGCCTGGCCGCAGGGGCTGGTGCTCAGTGGGCAATGACGCACCCTCCACTTCTTCCCCCATTCCCCCGGGTCCCCCTCCCTGCCCCAGATCCCAAGGGCAGCCTGTGACTCACCCAGCTGGGAGCTCTCCAGAGACACCCCTCCCTCGGGCAGGGCCAGCTTGGTCACTGCCTGTAAGGGGGGGCTCTGACTCCCTCCTTGTCTGTCTCTGTGTTCCTTTTCGTCTCGAATTATGGTCTCTTTCCCTGTCTCTTTCTCTCTCCCTGTCTTGGTCACACTCTGTCTCTCTGGGTCTCTGTCTCTCACTGTCTCCTCCAGCTTCTCCCAGGATCTCTGCTCCTCACTGCCATCTCGTGCTCCCCCTCTCCCGCCTCTCCCCGACTTGGGTCTATTTTTAGGCATCTCCTAGTTTGGGGAGAATTTTCTGGCCAAAGAAGGCAGGAACCCAGAGCCAAGATGGGAGGGCTGGGTGGGGGCCGGGTAGGATGGTCAGGTCCCCTCCTTCCCTGGAGAGAAGGAGGGGAAGAGAGAGATCTCTGGTCTCTGCCCGAAGAATGGTACTCATGGGGCAGCATAACCAGGATCCTGGGGGTTGGGGGCTCTTACCTCTGACCTCTCCCATGACTTTGTGTCTCCCTCCCCTACCAATATCCTTGTGCCCGCCCCCTTCTGCCTGGATCGGCCTTGGTGAGTGAACATGGAGCTACCCTCTTCCTTTCTGGTGGAGGGTAGTACATCTGATGAGGGTGAGGGGTGCCCTGGAACAAGGGAGCCAGAGCCTCTGTCCCAGAGGGCTATGCATTGCCTCAGCCACTTAAGGATTTATTGAGCACCTGCTGTATACCCAGCCCCATAGACATTGAGGACACAGCTGTAAGCAACAGAGCCCTAGTCCTAATTTCATATTGAGATCCAGACTCTGAAGAACTGCACGGGATGAGAGGGATAATCAGAAAGCAGGGGCTTGTGTTGAGTGAAAACAAAGATTTGGGGGAGGCAGGAGACAAAGGTTGGGGAGAAAGAGTGAGGGTGTAAGCAGCTGGCCATCGTCTGGGTCTCAGGGTCCCCCCAGCTGTGCCTATGACCTAATGTTCTTGGGGTCTCCCTCGCCCTGCCCACCTCTTCCACACTTGGGGGCTCAGGGCCACGCATCCCTGGGGCCAGGGAGCCTCCAGGGGGGCGTCCCGGGCCACAGCTCCCCTTCTCACAGATGCAGCGCGTGTTCGGGACGTACTTCCGCGTGGGCTTCTATGGTGCCCGCTTCGGTGACCTGGACGAGCAGGAGTTTGTGTATAAGGAGCCGTCCATCACGAAGCTGGCCGAGATCTCACACCGGCTGGAGGCACGTCCCAGCGGTAGGGGGTAGACGGGCACTGGGCTGCGCTGGGGCGGAGCGGGGGCCGCTGCTCCTCCATGGCCCCGAGTCAGCCCCGTGTCCCCAGGAGTTCTACACGGAGAGGTTTGGGGAGGACGTGGTCGAGATTGTCAAAGATTCGAACCCCGTGGACAAGACTAAGCTTGACCCACAGAAGGTGAGGGCTCCTGACCATCCCAGGGGACCCCCAAATCCTATCTTCAGGGAGACTCAAAAGTACTATTTCCTGGGGACCCTCAAATCGTATTTCTCTGGCAAACTTGAGAGCTTATCTCTCTCGGGGACCCCCAAATCCTTCTCTTTGGGAGATTCTCAAACATCGAGACTTCGGGGGCTGTGGGAACCCCAGATTTAAAGCTCCCAGACCCAAGGAAGTCCAAATCCCCTTTCTCCAGGGATGGGGCCCTGCAGGGAGGCTGGCAAGCCCCAAGTGTGTGTACTGGGGCTGTGGGAGCCTCATACCTGAGCCCCGCGTCCCAGGCCTACATCCAGATCACTTACGTGGAACCGCACTTCGACACCTATGAGCTCAAGGACCGGGTGACCTACTTCGACCGCAACTACGGGCTGCGCACCTTCCTGTTCTGCACGCCCTTCACACCTGACGGGCGTGCCCACGGGGAGCTGCCGGAGCAACACAAGCGCAAGACTCTGCTCAGCACAGACCACGCCTTCCCCTACATCAAGACGCGAATCCGCGTGTGCCACCGGGAGGAGGTGGGCAGAGGCCCAGGGCCCAGGGAGGGGAGAGGCCGAGACCCAAGATCAAGGGAGGCCCGGGTACCCCAGACCCAGGCTGGCGAGAGGACCCCAAACTCCAACCCCTAAACACCAATCTTCAGACTCAAACCTCTACTCCCTGACCTAGCCAACTGGAGGCTGGACCATAATCAGACCAAAGTCCCCAGAGCCAGACATAGGAGGCTGAGACCAGACACCCCCCTCCCCCCTCCGCCAGACCCAGGCAGGCAGACACCCCCACACCCTGTTCATGACACAGCCTCTTGGAACCCCTCTCCACCCCCAGCAGGGGTCCAGGCTGCTCTGGGCCGGCTTGGGTCAGGACATCTTCAGGCCCCAGCCAGTGCCTGCCAACCCCCCCCCCTCCCCCAGACAGTGCTAACACCAGTGGAGGTGGCCATTGAGGACATGCAGAAGAAGACACGGGAGCTGGCTTTTGCCACCGAGCAGGACCCGCCCGACGCCAAGATGCTTCAGATGGTGCTGCAGGGCTCTGTGGGGCCCACTGTGAACCAGGTACAGCCAGTGGGGCAGGCAGGCTGCCTGAGGTACCCCAGAGGCCATGCGGACACCCTCAGGAGCCCCTCTCACCCTGCAGGGTCCCCTGGAGGTGGCCCAGGTATTTTTGGCAGAGATCCCAGAAGACCCCAAACTCTTCAGGCACCATAACAAGCTGCGGCTCTGTTTCAAGGACTTCTGCAAGAAGTAGGCCTGACCCCTCCAAGCCCCGCTTACGGGCTCTTTGCCTTTCTGACCCCATACAGCCTCTCTGTATCCTGGATGTCCATTATGGAGCTCCTGCCTCTCTGGTTCTCATTAAGTCTCCTCTACCTAGCAGACTCACATTATAGCTCCTGACCCCACCCCCCACGGACTGCCCCCCACCTCCAGTCTTGCCTTCTCCTGACTGCCAGCCCCGAGCCTCTCCTGCCCTCTGTCTCTCAGGTGTGAGGATGCCCTGCGGAAGAACAAGGCCCTGATAGGACCAGACCAGAAGGAGTACCACCGTGAGCTAGAGCGCAACTACGGCCGCCTACGGGAGGCTCTGCAGCCGCTGCTCACCCAGCGCCTGCCCCAGCTGCTGGCGCCAACCACAGCGGGCCTCAGGTGCCTGACCCCAGCCCCCCACCCATCGGGAGGGCAGAGGCGGGCACAGACGCGAGCTGTCCTACACGTGCGTGGCACAAACATGCAACTATGGGGACATGCCTGCTGCGCAGGCTCCCGGCAGCCACTTCGGATCCCGGCGAGGTCATTTCCCAGACATGTGACTTCACGTTCCGGAGCCGAGATTTCCACATCTGTAAAATGGGCACAATTCTTAGCTTTGGTGGGAGATTCCAAGAGAGATTCTATGAACTCGTGGCCAGATCAGAATGGATGGGAAAGGAGCAGAGTCCCTAATTAGAAGAGGAGGGGGCGGGGGGAGGCTGATGAGCACTATGGAGTTGGCCATGTTGACCCACCTCATCCTTCCCCCAGGAACTCCTTGAACAGAGCAAGTTTCCGGAAGGCCGACCTCTGAGCTCCGAGTGGCCTGAAGCCACAGCCAGAAGAACCATCACCCTAGCCTCACTGTCTATGCCTTCCCAGGATTCTCCCTCCACTGGCACACTGGGCTGTGGGGTGATCATATTCACACGGGGCTGGGCCCTCTGTTCCTCTGTTCCCATCTGTGTGCACTGATGCTTCTTACCTTTTCTAATTTAAAGTGGTTTTCATAAGCAGCCTGTTTGATGTGGATCCTGGGAGTTGGGTCATGAGCGCACCCACACACCCTGATCTTTGACAGACTCTGAGAACTCACTGGGTGCCAGGAACACAGCAGTGACAACCGATGCAAATTCCTGCCCTGGTGGGGCTGACATTCTAGTAGAGGAGGCAACACACAAATAATGTCACGTGCCCATAGGGAATAATAGTAACATTAATTAAACTCTTGGCAGAGGACTCAGCACTGCGCTAAATGGCTCCTAAAAAGACACCGCCCCATTTATGGGGTCTTTTTGACCTCCATTAGGCCCCCCTCCTCCTAGTTAGTGAATTTTCTCAATGCCATCATCAGGTAGGAAGCATTCTTAACCCCGTTTTACAGGTGGGGAAAATGAGGCACCAGGCAGTTAGAGGCTTGGTGGGGATTGGAGCCCAGGTCCGGTTTAGCCATTGCCTGCGCAGCCTCGCACTGACCCAGCCCCACTCCCCACCCCGCGGCAGTCACGCCACCCCGTACCAGGCCTGTGCTGGGCCGCTTCCAGCCCTCGGCCGGCGGGGTGGGGGAGGCAGCCCCCGCCGCCGCCGCCGCCGCCCGCGCCCTCCCGGAGCTGGGCCTTGGCCAGCCCCGCCCCCTCCCGCCCCCCGCAGCGCCCGGCTGCGGCGGTGGCGGGGACCGTGCTCTGGGGACCCGGGGAGGAGGGGCGAGAGGACGACACCGGACCCCTTGCGCGCACGCGAGCACACACACAGACGCACACCTGCGGTCCAGGTGCGATCGCGTTCTCCCGGCATCCCCCTCCACGGCTGCCC